TGGAGCCAAGGTGAGTGACGTAGGATTTGTACATTAATAGACTATTTGGAAATTCTAATTACACCATGGCTTCAATTCTTTAAAAATTCCACTTTTGTAAAAAAAAAAAGGAATTCATTAGCATTTTATTATTATATCCTTTTCTTTATATGTGTAATTAATATTAAATTATTAAAAATGAGAATGAAAAAAAGGGTGGGATTATGTTTTAAATACCAGCTCATAACTTCCCTAATTTGAAATTAATTTTTATTCTCCATTATTTACTTTTCGTTTCACAACCAAATAGTTGTTTCATTCTTTCTTCGTCTTCTTCATTCTTCTTCCATCCAAGACCAACAGAGGGTATTAGTCCTTTTCGTTCGACGGTAGCTGAAGCGATAGTCAGTGGCACAAGACTAATTATAATAAATATAAATACCATAAATAAGGACAACTTTGGTATTTGCCAAAATTTTAAATACGGGAATCTAAAATTGTAAAATTTGTAAACGTTAGGTATTTGTGAAAATAAGTTTATGGCCGTCCAAGACATTATCGCTTGTTTGGTAATGTGTAGGCTTTAATATGAATGTTTTCATCAAAATTAAGGTTTGTTTGGTAATGTTTTCGTTTCTTATTTATGTTTCTTCTTTCTAATAAAAATAAATAAATAAATAGAATTATAGGACCTCCAACACCTATAGATTCAAGAATGATACAACAAAATTTTTATTTTATGTTGGAACAAATTGAAAACCGAAACACAAGAAATAAAAAATAAGGAAGGTAGGTCAGATGACGCCAGACAAATGAACTCTCAAAATCCTAACTTGATGGTTTGATGATGCCAGCTGAATAAACTCTCAAACTCCTAGCTTGATGGTTTGATGCGACAGTCGCATTATTTCCAAATTTACTACAAACACAGGCACATCCCTTGTCCAGAACGTGGAAATGCAGTCTTTTTTCCTAGTTGTACCGAACCTTTTGAGAAGTTGTCATGTCCAAATTGTTATTCCTTCCATTGCGCAAGAAGAAGTCAATATTACTTGTTCAAGTGAGTTACCAACCTTCCAAAGTTTTCTCCAACAAAGTGCAACCTCGGAAAGTTTTCTCCAAAGTACAACCTCCAAACCTATAAATACAGCTTCCAAGAGTTCTTCAAATCATTCCAATTTCCGGCCTAAGAATTTTCTTCAAGAGTTCCTGTTCAATTCCTCGACATTTAGTTTTGAATTTGATTGTTTTCTTAAATTGCTCTTTAGCTTTTCATTGTTGTTATCTTTCATAAGTCTCGATTTAATTCCAGCATCTTTCTTCTTAGATCAATTTTGTATTCAGTTTTAAATTTAATACAAATTTCTTCTTTTGGATAAATTCTTTGTATTTCCATTTCTCCCGGTTCTAGGATGAGCGAAATTACCTTTTCAACTCTTCTACGAATGCCTTAGTCTATTTTTTTAATCCAAACTGCAACTATCAAGGAGCTTGGCGTTTCACGCTCATTACTTATCTTGATTGATTTAATTGATTAGTTGACCACTTGCATAATCACATTAGTTTAAGTTCGATTATGAAAAGATTAGATTTAAATGGAGTTCAATCAAAATAAAATAGGAAGTTACTTAGAAATAAAAATTAAAACAATAACCTAAAGATAGAATCTGTTAAATGAGAGTTGAAACTCAATTTATTTAGGATTTTGCCATTTCATAGACATATATAAATGCTGACCTAAACTTCTGAACAACTAAACAAACTAAGTATGGAATAGGAGTGAGGATTGATTAGTTGCATTAGAATAGAAGTGAGGATTGATTAGTTGCAGTATCTTTTTTCAATATTAAGGCAGTAATAAGGGGTTGGTTTCCCATAGTCTATTATTTTTTATTTTAAGCATTGTTATCAACATACTCGCAACTATTCCCGACCCTTGGGACAACTTGAAATACTTCCATATTAGAAGAGGCGCAACAATTAATATATTATTTTATGTTATAAACTCATTTAATTCTTTTTGTTAAAATTAAAATATATAAAGTATATAATATTGTAAAATAATAATTATGTAAAACTTATAAAATAATGTTAATAAATTAATTAAAATTATTTTAGATTGAACTAAATATTTAGTTAGTAATTACCGATTACAAATATATTACTAAACACACATTAAACAATCTTTTAAATTGATATTAAATTTCCAAATCTGTTACCAGACACATGTCTAATAACACTAAAAATAAACAATACAAATCTATTTTTCATTGAATTCCTTAATTTCATATTTATATTTTTAGATCACCAATAAAACGTACCTTAGAATTTTGAATAAAATTGAAAACGATAAATCAAAAATAAAAATCTTACTAAACAAGACCTAAATATTGATATTTTTAGATCACCAACTAAACACACCCTTAAAATTCTGAATAAAATTGGAAACATAAATCAGAAATAAAATCTTACTAAACAAGGCCGAAATAACCTATTCCTTCTCCCCGTGCATGAAAATATTTTTGGGTCAATTAAGAACTTTAATTATTGGAGTAAAATTTGAACGTCTCTCAGTGAAAGAACCTTCTCCTTCCCCTTCTTTTGGGTTAGTTGGAGCCTTTAATTGTTTGAATAAATTTTGAATGTCATCGTCAAGATGGACAGTTGTAAATATGACAAAAATATTTAATGAAATTAGCAAAGAAGTAATCATATTTAATTTTTTCAAATATAGTATTTTAAAAAACGGAGGTTCAATTTTAAAATGACAACTTTATCTAATTGATATATATTTATAGTATATCTATAATAATATATCTGTAATATATCTTACTACTAATATATGTATGTGATATACCTCTGATATATTGCTAATATGAATGTCCGATATACTTACAGTATGTGATATTATTATGTGATATTATTAATATGAGCGTCCAATTTTCCTAATCAAAATCTCTCTCTTTTCATTATTATTATTATTATTATTATTATTTATTTTCTAGTTCCTTAAACAACAACTTTCATTTTCTTTCGAGTGTTGGTGCAGTGGCAAGATGCTTCACCCAAGATCCAGGTTCCAGTCTTCTTGTATCCAGAAGTAAAAAAAAAAAACCTTCATTTTCTTTCTCGTCTTATGATTAAGTTTTCATGTGAATCATTTTCATGAAATCTTGGGACAGAGACTACTTTTAACAACTGCATGGAGATGAAACAGTTTATAAACAGCCAATCCAACGTACATAAAAAGGTACAATTATAATAATAAATGTTCATTAATATTTTTATTGCTTACATGAAAATAGCAATTCTGAACAGAAAAAAGCATGTGATTTTAAATATTTTCTGTAATAAGAAAATGCAATATTACAAAATTGAAATTAAATATCACCCAAAGTGATTTATTAAATCCCACCTCCGCTTTTAAAATTTCTCTGCAAAAAGGATCAAAGAATCAAACGTTCTTGAGAACGTGAATTCAAGTCTTTCACCTATCTCTTTGCTTTTTAGGGTCGGTTTTCGGTACTGAATGATATTTTAAAATCTTTATTTTCATTTTCATAGAAGAATTTTAGTTATTGTGATGGAGATGTTTGAAATTAATTAGTGAGCGTAAATAATTAAGCTACGAAAAGAAATCACTATCAATATACAATTTTTTTTAGAAATATTTACGCCGCATACACAAAACTTCATTTTACTCCGACAAACATTTCTTAAATGTTCGAATTCTAATACTACAAAAACAATTTCAATAATTTATTTCTCATGCCTTCCCCAAGCTCATGATATTGGAAGGAAATTAATTAAGGCTATTGATAACGATTTCTTTTTGGTTTTTGGATTTTGAATTTTAGGATTTTTTTTTAAAAACAGTTTGTTTGATAACCCATTCGTTTTTCTGTTTTTCAACAAAAACCATTTTGAAATTATATGTCAAAAACGAAAAAGTAATTTTCAAAAACAGATTTTTGTTTTTCAAAATTTGATTTTTTCTTCCAATACTCAACTTTTTTTTTCTTTCACATATTTATCTCTAAAACATTTATTTCTCCCTCTAATTTTTTTATCTAAATTTATCTCTACAAAATTTATTTCTCTCGCTCAAATTTTCACATTTGGAATATTTATTATTATTTATCTCTCTCTCCAAATTTTTCTGTATTTTTATTTTTATTTTTATTTTCTAACACATCAGTTTCATTTCTCCCGTAAAAATTTAATATTTTATCCAAAATTTTTCTCTCTAAAATTTCATCTTTTTTAACTTTTCTTTATCTTCATAATCTATTTTTTCCTCTGAAAATTATATATAGTTTTTGGTTCAATTTTGTTTCACGGTAGCTTTTATTTATCTTTATATTTATTTATTTTCTCTAAAAATTATATTTTGAATCTTGTTTTTATCTCTAAATTTGTTTCCACTATCATTTTCTTGTTCTTTCTAATGTTTTTTCTTTAACATATATTTTCCTCCTGACTTTACTTTTTTTTCTCTAAAATTTTCTCCTTTTGTCTTTAACGTTTGTTTCACTAATTTTTTTCTAAATCTTTTTATTTATCTCTCTAAAATTTATTTTCCAAAAGTTTATTTACATTTATTTAAACTTGTATTTTCATGTCTCTGGATTACAAAAATTTCCGCATGGTCGAGCCCAAAAATAGGAAATGCATGTCACGACCCCATCCCCAATTCTATTTTTTAAATAATTAATATATAAATTTATTACACTTTTTTATGCTTAAATTCTAAAAATAATTAAAATCAATTATAAAACCGATAAATTTTCTCGAGAACATCTCTCTAACCGAATAATGAGGTGGAGACAGGGACTAAAAATTTTCACGAGCACGAGAATGGGGGCAGCATCCTCACTCGCACCCACACCATTATCATCTCTACTCTATATAGAAATTTCTGTCTAATATGTATTTTAAATTTTCTAACTTTTCTGTCTAATGTTGTTTTTTATTCCCCATTCACATAATCTTGCGTTTTGTTGGCTGCTGCATGTTGGAGATTGAAAATTTTTGTTGCGTGAAAGATTGATCGAACACTTTTTGGCAATACCCTTGGCATGAACCACATGTACTGTAATGAGAAATTGAGGTATGGTACTTTGATCTCTGATCTCTGTTCATGCTTCATGTTATTGACTATATTCTTGAGCTGAAACATATCCTATGATCTTGAGAAGCATGTTGATCGGAGTAGAATTATTCATTGTAGACTTTATATCGATTTCATATATTGTGTCTATAACCACTCTATAACATTAGTTATGCATTATGTTTGTTATGTCTTCTCAAGGAATGAAGAATGTAATACAATTAATGTGGTCATACCTAGTTCGAACTAGTGTTTCTCGTACATGTTGAACTGAAAGGATGGTACTTAGTCAGAAATTTGTTGTTATTCTTTATCTAAGTATATCTTATGATCCATGAATAGCATGCTCGTTATATTGAATGAGTTAATCTTGATATTGTACTTTATCCAAAACACGACCATGCCCACCCCCCACCCCTTCACACACACAAAAAGAGAGTATTCATTCTGCACAAACCAATGTACGAAGTTAGATTCGTGTTTTCTTAATTGTTTGTTTTGGATATGTTGTTCAGCATGTGGGAGCGAGGGTAGAAGGAAGCAGGAGCGAGACTTTCTGTAATACGTTTGCGCCATTTTGTAGTTTTACCTTTCACGTTTACACGGTATGAGCTCTAACACATAATAGTAATATGTTAGCTACATTTGTTGTAGTTTGACCTTTCAGAGATACTATTGTCAAATATTTGAAGTTTATTTCCATTGCTTAGGTCTTCCAAGAAGAGCCTGGAGAACCATGGCGGGTAGCTACTTGGATTACTTGGAATATTGACTGTTGGGCCATTTTTTGTTGGGTTAGCAGTCACTTGGTATGTAGATTGTTTATGTACGGGGTTTGATGGACATAAAAACACTTCGTTGATATATATATATATAATTTGCTATATGTATACACTTTATATTTGCAAGTGGGTTGGTGTACTGATGCATATATTTGTGTATGTAAAATACGTCACAATTGACAATTGACAGGTACTGGGTACAACTATGCAAAGCGATTTTTAAAAACATTTCAAAACAGGTTTATATGATTCATAAATGTCAACAAAATAGGTTTCGTGACCAAAAAAAAAACATTCAAAACAGTTTCGTGACAATTAAAAATGTCATTGAAGGCCTTCTATTGACATTTTGAAACACGATAGTTGACATTAGTAAGTATACCATGATAGTTTAAAATTGTTGTTCTAAACTTTTTCGTGACAATTTTCGCGATCATAAATTACTGTCATTACTAAACATAACATGATAGTTAAAACTGACAATATTGATGGTTAAAATTATCACTATAAAAGTTTTTGTGACAATTATAAATAGTCGTTGTTAAGTTTCTCTTGATGGTTGTAATCTGTCGTTAAAAAAAAATTCATGTCAATCTTGAACTGTTGTTAAAAGCTACTTCATAACAATTATAAACAGTCGTTACAAAAGGATTCGAGAAATTTATATATTGTCGTCTTTAGGTCTTTATTGACAGGTGAATAAAATATTTGATTGTTTTAATGACACTTATAAATTGTAATTAAATGTTGTAATTAAATGACTTTCCGTGACATTTGTTAATTGTGATTGAAGTTCTATTCGTGACAAAGTTTAACTGTAATTGTAAATGCATTGATGACAGTATTTCAAATTTGTCATCTTGTCCACTTTCTTGATGCCTTAATAGATGACAAAAAAAAAAAAAAACTGTCATGAATTAAGTTAATGACACTTTTTAACTATCACTGAAACTCGAATTTCTACTAGTGTTTAAAAACAAAAAACAAAAAATGGTTATCAAACATATATAAAAACAAAAACCAAAAAACCAAAAACTAATAAAAAAGAAAAGCCAAAGACCAAAAACAGAAATGGTTATCCAAGGGCACTTAGCATTTATATGCATTTCCTGCAAAAATAGCCAAAATGGGGAATGTTTTTTTTTTTCACTAGCTAAATCTAACATAATTAGGTACTCCTATTTGGATATTGAGATAAATCTCAAGATTTTGTACGAATTGCATCTCCTTAGATAAAAGATGCCTATATTGCTAACTATGGTTACACTAAATAATATTTCAAAACAGGTTAAAATTTGAATTATACAAATTAAAAGGAAAAAACAAAACCAAAAGTGCTAATTTCACTTATCTAGGTTGAAGTGATTAGGAATCTATACCTCGTGTGTTTGACTTCATATTCATCTCTCCAACTGTGATATAATATTGAAAAACACTTAATAATTTATAATTAAAATGTAGTAGATTGATAAATTTGTGTTTCAATATGTTAGGGAGCAACATATTGGTTTCAAACCACTCAACAAAACAGCAAGCGTAAAGAGACAAAAGCAGACCAGAAGAAGAGTATAGTCTCATTCACTATTGGTTTTCGAGGTAGAAAGTGTTCATGCAAAAATCTACCAAGACACGGATGACGACTTGGGAGATCGGCCAGAAGCACTCGGAGCGATTCCTGGGGTACCTACAAGGAGGTAAGCCACTCTGACGCCCTAGTCAGTTTAGAGTTTGAGTTCAACAGACTGGACAAATTTTCCTACTTGGACATTAAAAGGGGTGGTGTATTTATAGCGGTCAATGAGGTAGATAGCTGTCCCATCATGGTATAAATCTGCTCAAGCTGGATCCCCCCAAGTGACCTCCGGTCCCAGCTATGGACCGGTCCGTTCCCCACTAATGTCACGTTTCTCCTACTATCCAAGGCCGACCTGTTAGGTCGACTAGTCCAGGTTATCATAAACAGGTTGGGCGTTCAAAGTTTGACCTCCCAACATTGGCCCCCTCTCAGGTTGGGTGACAGGTCATCTACTTGAGAGATTGGTATAGTGAACGACCTGCGTAGGATCTTGCTTCCGAGCTGGTGTGGATGACGTGGCCGAATTTGCTTTATTTTGTTCAGTTGGGGGAGCGGAGGTACGCTCGAGTGATGGCTGGTCACAATTCTTCTTGGAGGAGCGTTGGTTTGCCCGGGTGACTGATCCTGCCATAATGTACTCCTACCTATAGCACCGGCAACTGAACTCGAGCAGTTTTTCTATTTTTACTTGCTCCCCCACCGTGATCGAATGAGAATGGATAAGAGGCTCGTGGGATTGACGTAGAGTTTCTAAGTGAAGGCAAGCGCAACAAGATATTTCATATCCTCC